TGAACTATTTTCCTAAATCACAGATAGCCCTCAGCAGAACCTCCATGTATTGAAGTGGCCATGAACGTTGAAATCTTGGCAATAGCTAATGAATGACAACAGAAGGGATGATTTTAGTTTGCGATTTCTAAGGTCTGTTGCCTATTGAGAAAGACTTCATTTTAGCCTTGGATCAGCTGAACACCCATAATCCTGCTGACCACTGTCCTGGAATGGACTCTCCATGGCGTGTGAAAATGAATGTTCATCCTAACTTCAGCTGAACACATCTGCAAGAATGCACATTGTGTGGGCTGAAAAGCTCTCCAGGATTGTGATTTTGTCACTGATAAGCAGTGCAGTGATTTGTTTCCTACAAAAGATGGAAGGGAGGCAGAAAGGAAGAGGAAAAAAAGAGAAAAGGAAAATATAGGACTTGGAGTGAGTTGTGTGTATGTTTTGCAATTACTAATTGGTTGTCTTAGTTCCCTGTTGCCAATATTTCAATTTCTTTTTTATGTAACTGTTCTTTATTTCTAATTTTAGAAGATAGAAGCTTGGATCATTTTTCACTATCATCAAATCATGTGCTGGCTGAATGGTACTGGCTTTCTGAAAAAAATCATACCTCTTCTTTTCCAGCTTCTAAATTCCTACTCCATGTTTTCTCGCATTTGTCTTTTTATTTTCTTTTCCTTTACATTTTTATGAAATTTTTATAGAATATATTTTATTATGCCCTTCCCACTCCCCAACTTCATATCCACCCTACCTCAAGTTCTCTCTCTCTTCTGTGTGTGTGTGTGTGTGTGTGTGTGTGTGTGTGTGTGTGTGGTGTGAAGAAACAACAAAACATAAGAAAAGAAAATCAAACAGTAAACATTAAGAGAAAAATTTCAAACCAAACTAAAAAATACAAACACAGAATTAGAGTTCATATCGTTCAACTTTTCCTGAGCATGTGGCCTGTATGGGGTAGGGATGACATGGTCATTTGTGATTTTATAATCTCAGGGAAGATGAGAATGTTGTTCCCAATGCTTGTCTTGCATTGTTTGTTTTGAAAGTGACCGATTTAAAATGTTTGTGAAACTATTCAAAAAGCATACTAATAGACTTTTTAAAAACTAAAACATAAGGTTTCATTACAAATAACTTTTAGAATAACATTTATTTTCAGCTATTCATCTATCAAGAAGAGGAAGAGACGGAGGATGAAAAATAGATACATTTAATTTTAATGTTATTTTTATTTCATTGAATGTGACTTTAGAGATGTATAAAAGATAATATCCTATCACACATCTTATACATTCATATGCATATGAATTAGCATAATACTATTTTTCTGTAGTTTTTCATGTAAGTTCATGTTATATTTGAAGTGAGGCAATTAGAATTTTACTGTGCCCCAATAAATAATGACCAATTATTATAAAAAACATTTCTAAAAAATTTACAATGCCTTATTTAGTTTTTGATTCATGTGAATACAATTAAAATTTATTTGAATGTTCAAATTGATTTAGTGTCTAACACATGAAAGCAATAGAAATTAGATTAAAATGATTTCTTATTTATTTCAAACACAGAACAGTTGCCTGTGAAATTTGACAAATATAGCAGTCTAACACTTGAGAGAATTCCTAATTAAAAGAAAATTAATATTTGGAATTTGATTTCCCAAGGTTATAGTGAGTACCTGACTTGAACAGTTTTGATCTGACACCTCTAAAAATGATTTTAATGATTATTAACTATTGCCTAAGTCTGGGTCTTCAGTTTGATTCCATTGATCAGTGTCTCTGCTTCTGGGTCAATGTTGTGATTTTCGTTCTATATGTATCAGGACCACTTGAGGTTGGAGATGGTGATGCCTTCAGCAGTTTTTTATTAATCAGGATTGGATTGTTTTAGTTATACATAGTTTTTTATGTTTCTGTTTGAAGCTGAAAATTATCATTTCAAGATTTATGTTAGAATTTTGATGGGAATTACATTGAATCTGTAGATTTCTTTTGGTTGGATACCTATTTTTCTATATTACTAAAACCCATCTATGGCCATGGGTGGTCTTTCTATCTTCTTATATTTTCTTTAATTTCTTTCTTTATATCTTAAAGTTTTATCATATATGTCTTTCTCTTGCTTGACAATGCAATTTAGTTTATTTTAAATTATTTGAGACCACTGTAAAAGGTGATTTTTCCCTAATTTCTTTTTCAGTCAGTTTGTCCCTTTGTATATTGGAAGGCTTGTGTATTATGAGTTAACTTTGTATCCTGCTACATTGTAAAAAGTTTTTATCAGCTGTAAGAGATTCCTGGTAGAATTTTTAGTTTCAGTCATGTATTTTGACTTTTTCCTTTTCAGATTATATCACATTGATCTTCAGTTTAGTATTGCTCTAGCTAAGACTTTAAGTACTATATTAAATAGATATGGATAAAGTATACAATCTTCCCTTGTTCCTGATTTTTGTGGAATTGATTTTTTTCCACTAAGGTTGATGTTGACAATGGGTTTGTTGTAAACTCACTTTATTATGTTAAGGTGTATCCCTTATATTGCTGATCTTTTTCATGAAGAGGTGTTGGATTTTGGCAAAGGCCTTTTGGGCATCTAAAAACATGCTCATGTGACTTTTGTCTTTCAGTTTATATAGTGGATTACCTTGACAGGTTTTTCTATGTTGAACCATCCCTTCATCTCTTGGATGGAGCCTACTTGATCAGGGTAGAAGATTTTGTTTGATGCATTCTTAAATTCAGCTTACAAGTATTTCTTTTCTGAGAAATTTTGCACAAAGGCTCATAAGGGACATTAGTCTATAATTCATTCTTTGTGTTGGTTCCTTATGTGGTTTCGATATCAGAATAACTATTTACAGGAAACAAATTGAGGAATGTTCCTTCTGTTTCTTTTTTGTAAAATACCTTGAGGAGCATTGGTTTTAACCCTTCTCTTGAGGCCTTAGAGAATTTGGCACTGAAACCACCTACACCTGGGCTTTATTTATTTTATTATTTGGTTGGTAGATTTTTTACATTACTCTAATTTCATTAGAGGTTATAGGTCAGCTTAAATTGTTGATCTGATCTTGATTTAACTTTGGTAGGTCATATGTAAAGAGAAAATTAGCCATCTCTTTTAGATTTTTCCAATTTGGTGGAATATGAGTTTTTTTAAGATTGACGTTATGATTCTCTGGATTTTCTCAGTGCTTGTTCTTATGTTCCCCACCCCCATTTCTCATTGCGCTAATTTGGAATTTAATCCTTACTAACAAATGGTTTGGGTTGTTTTCTACTTTTGCTTTCATGCATACAGATTCTGTACTGATAACAGTGTTGGAAAATAAATATTGTCATTCTTCTCTAATCATATTTCTGTCACCTTGCCTAGGAAATTTTCATAATCACACAGTAGTAGAGATTAGTATTTGAACTTTGTTCAAGGATAACTATCCTATCAGGATGTTACAGTCTGTACTGAAATGTCAGTCCCTCTCCCTGAGATATGTAAATCTGCATCTGGGGATATTCTTTCAAATGCCACCCTCACTCAAATCACAGAATTATTAGTTACCTTAGCTGAAATCATTATATTATCTTTTATCACCCATATTAAGGAATTTTCTATTTTCAGAATCAAAGTATTAAAAGAATAAGTCCTTTAAACAAAGGAATGTTCTGAATTATTAAAAATCATGAAAAAACAAGCAGTATGTTTCCTACAGAGTTTTGTTTACATGGAGAACTATCTATTAAGGCTCAGAGATAGATGGATACTAATAGCTTCTAGTTCAGGAAGAAAATCTGTGATCCAGGAGCTTACTTACCACGGCAAAACACAAATAATTTTGCCTCTGAAACATAATGTTGGGGAAATAATATTTTAATCCTTGAAAATTGTTTTCCTCCATGACTCCACTTCCAGGTGTGCCTTCCTATTTATTTTAAAAGATCATTAATTAAATCTCAACCATTCCCTATGTCATCTGTTATTTTATATTTTAAGCCCTTGCTCTCATTTACCCTACAATGCCATTCCTGCTCACAGAATTGACATGTTTTATACATTCCTCCACAGTATGTAAGTCATATTTGTTCACATTTCAATGAAAAATTTTGAACTGCATTGTATCATTAACATAGCCCTCATGACTTTTATGAAATAAGCATGATATTTTTATATCAAAATATATGAGGGAGACAGATCCAAAGTGAATAAGGTATACTCTGAAAAACGTCAACATTTGCATTAATTTTATTTTGCAAAGTGATTATAATCATTATAACTTTAAAAGAAAAAAAATTCACTTCATTTTTAGAGCAAAGTACACTTTTTTTTCTCACTCAAATTGCAGCAAAGCTCTAGAAGTCTGGACAATCAAATAGTCAGTAAGTGTGTTAGATAAGGTGTCACTCGACTATCTGAACAAGAGTATCTCTGACCTCTCCAGACAACAATGACCTCAGATGAACTCCACTATAATGAAATGAATTAAAGTGGCTCTCAGTTTTAGACAGAGCATTAATGCCACAGCAGTCCAAGTATCGTGGAGTTCTGCACAGCTCTCTGGTAGAGAGTGGCTAAGTGCTGTTTAAAACCTGTCTGTAAATGTTGAGCATTGTCTGCCCTGAGTTCACCATCAGCAGTTTCACCATGCCCTTGGAGATAGGGGAAATCTGAACTAAGTATTTCAGCCTATCCTGTTTCCTAAATCCACTTAGCTGTGAAATGAAGCAACGAAAGACCTTTGTTCTTTGGTTAGAGCAGAAGGTGACTTGTCTACATGTAAAGCAGTAATAAGAATCTTAAAATTAATTAACATGGAGTATTCAAATCCATCTTCTTTGGCTCATCTTGCTCTGTCTTGTAGGCCTTTTCCGAAGTTACATTTTCCATTGACTTGAACGTGTTTTCAGTTGAGGGAAGAATATTACATGGAATCAGATGAAAGCCACTGTGTATGTGTGTGTTTGCTTATCCTGACTGCTTGTCCCTGCTGTCTCCAGGAACTGAAGGAGCAGTATTTGGGCATTCTGTGGAAACACCTCACATCAGAGCAGAGCCATCCCAAGACCTCAGGTAAGTACTTCTTATACCGTGGCATAGTTCCCCTCACTATTGAACACCGTTGACACTTGAACAAGCAACATATGGTGCTAGTGCTATCAACTTGTACAAAAAAAAAAAAAAAAACCTCCCCTTACTAATTACCACCTTTTACACATGAAAAAGTAAATCAACATTCCATGACTTCATAGTAGTCAGGTATTTTAAGTCAAGATAATGAGTCATTCTAACTTTTCCATTTCCGCCAAACAAATGATACGAACACAAAAATACATGTACTAATGAGAGTTGAGAAAATGAAAAAGACAGTTATCAAGAAAGTATAGAGGAGTACTGGTTACATTAGGTATCCTGGGAAATCAGATATAGATGATAGATAGATAGATAGATAGATAGATAGATAGATAGATAGATAAACAGGAATAAAGGGAATGGAGGAAGAAAGACCATGAGAGAATATCAATGGATCAAGTCATGTGAAGTAGGTGGTACACAGAGACAAAGTAACACTGCAAGAAACATCTAGAAGTGATTTGTCCTGACATGGTACCTCGGTATAATATTCCCAGTACTGCACTCTGTCTAAGGAAAGAATATTCATAACTACTGCACAGATATTCTTAATTCAACAAATAAATTAACATTTGATGGGACAAGATGGATTACTTAATTTCTATTAGAAAAATTACACTCCAAAATGCATCTGCTACAGTGGGTTTATAAAAGGCAACAATAAGGGCACAAAATTACATATTAAAATAATTATTGTTAGCTGCACTAGATATAGGATTTCTTGAGAAAACTGAGTAAGATTTTAAATAAAGAGGCATGTGATTCCTACTTTAGAAAGATATCCTATACAGAAAGAGTCCTTGTAATACTCACAAGACAGTGTGAGTGCACCGAACAGAATCTGTAAAGAGGCTAATCATGGATGGCTCAGTGTATGACTGAAACCCCAGTGTTGTGGGAGAGGGGGTGTGGTGGAAAACTAGGAAGATAGGAAGATCCTATGACTTCCTGGCCATCGGCCTATTATAGATTCAAAAAGAGAGTCTGTCTCAGAGGAATAACACTCAGTGTGCTCTCTGGCTTCCGCACACATGTGTAGACAAATGTGTATATGTCAGCACACACATGTGCACATGTAGATGAACAGTATATATGCTACCAACACAAAAACAAAATACACATTCTTACACAAAGATGCAGATACACACATTTTATTTCATGAAAATCATTGTTCTCTTTTTGGCATTTAATAAACACAGAAATGGTTGAAAATGGAAAATAAAGGTGACTTTTTTTTAAAACTGAAAATAGATTTTTCTCTCATATAATCATAGATTTTTCTCTCATCTCAACCACAGCCTCCCGCCGTCCCCAGCCACCCCTCTTACCTAGATTCACACAAACCCTATTTTCTATTGGGGAAAGAGCAGGCCTCTAAGAGATGTCAACCAAACAGAATGAAACAAGATATAGTAAGACAAGGGGAAAGGCCTCATATTGAGACTTTACAAAGCAATCCAATAGGAGGAAAAGAGACTTAAGAGCAGGGGAAAGAGTCAGAGATGCACCTGCTCCCACTGTTAGGAGCCTCACAAAAACACCAAGCTAACAGCTGTAGCATATCATGCAAAGAACCTGATGCAGACCAATACAGACCCCTTGCTTGCCACTTCAGTATCTGTGAACCCCATTTAGTTGATTCAGTGGTTTCTCATGGTATTCTCCACCACCTTTAACCCCTACAGTCTTTCCTCCCAGTCTTTCATAAGGTTCCTAGATATCAGAGGGGAGAGATCCAATGGAGACCTCCAATTTTTCAATTTACTCTGTCTCTGTCTCTCTCTGTCTCTCTGACTCTCTCTCTCTCTCTCTCTCTCTCTCTCTCTCTCTCTCTCTCTCTCCCTCCATGACTGGCTATGCATCTCTGCATTGGCTCCAAGGCTCCCATCTACTGTTGGAGGGGACCCCTCTCTGACGATACCTGGATAAGGCATGAATATCTATGAGTATAGCAGAATATCATTAGGAATCGTTTCTTTGTTTTCTATCTTCTCTTTCATTTTTCTTTCTTCTTTCCTTTTTTCTTGTTTGCTTGCTTCTGCTTTGCCAGTTGTGTTTGGTTCCACCCAAAGTGCTGTGCTATCCAGTCTCTGATTCATGGCCACTTAGGCATTGTAGACAATGGATTCTCTCTTAAGGCATGAACCTTAAGTTAAAGCAAACATTGGTTGGTCACTTCCACAAGCTCTGAACCACCATTGTTCCAGAATATATTTCAGGTAGGACACATTGTGAGTGAAGGGTTGTGGCTGGGTTGGTGTCTAGGTGTCTTTTTACGTAGTCTACAGAGTACCTTGTCACCCACTTGAAAAGTGAGATGAAACTTTGAGTACAGAAACAGTAATATTTACAGTAACATATATTCAGAATCTCATAGTCTTATGCTATTTTCTGAGACTTTTGTTCTGACTGATTGAGAAACACAGTTTCCACAATCTATCAATTATTACCAGAGGGTGGTTTTTTATGTGATTTTTAATTTTTAATTTTAATTTTAATTATTTACAAAATAATATACAAAACTAGAGGGTTTCAGAAATGTTAATGGTAGTGCCTAAACCAAATTTTAATGTACTTTAGTCTTGAGGGTCTTCATTTATTCAAGAAAAAAAATAATATGTTATAAAGCAGAACATTTAGTGTTCTTCTCTGGCTTTCACAAGTGTGTGCACAAATTTGTATGTGTGAACACACACATATGTACTTTCAAATGCATGCTATATATGCTACAACACATAAGTAACACACATGTTCATACATATGCATAGTCTCTCACACATACACAAACACATCCATAGCTGTGAGGAATTTAGGATGCTTGGCATAACTGTGATCCTTCCCCACATTCCTGGCTTGCAGGACCCACATGCCCTCTACATATTCTTAACATCATAACAGAAAACAATGTATCTCATGTGTAGTAGTGTGATAGGTAGTTGTCGGTTTTAATGATTGTAACAAAATGCCTTTAAATAACATGGCTGTGACTAAATTAATGTTATCTAAAAATAGAGTCTCCTTGGAATACATATGGATGGCATCAATGCCAATTGTTGCAGACTGGTCTAAATGTAGCCTCCAAATACAGTAAGTCCACGTTATCACTCATGTCACATATAAACACAGCTGACCTCTAGAAGTTTGGAGCAGAATGCTTTCAAAGGATGAATATGAGGGAGAAGGGGGATTGAGAAGATGTTGGCCAATATATGTTAAGCTATACTTGAGATACTCAGGTGTCCCTTTTCAAAGCAGGTGGCTTACAAATAATGATATTTGAGAGCTAGAGGAAATGACTTGCAGTTTCCAGCAGGGAGGAGCTGTGAAGGCTTTGTAAGATAGCTACGTTCAATCTGATCTCAGCAATGCACAATGTATGCTATCCATATTTTCAGTATTCTGGGAAGATACATGTTTTCTTTCCATTTAAATGTTGAATTAATTTAATTTCAGCATTCAACAGTATGTGCAAAATTAAGATATACCTAAATATAAACTGTGTATATTAGAAGAGACTAATTCATTCGTATTGATTTCTGAGTCCTAAGATAATCATTTTGGCTCTATAATTTTTGTAATTATGTGTATGTTGTATCATCCAATTATAGTCTATCACTATAGGAATAGCACTACATATGACTTTAGGTGCCCCCAGATGTCTCAATATTTGCAAGTGTAAGTGAGAAGTAAATCATAGCTAGTATATGGTGTTTCTAATTTTTTTTTCTATTCTGATCATCCGTTACTTTAACACTGAATAGGCATGACATCATCTAATGCTAAAATAGTCTGACTACTCCCAAGATGAGTGTTTCTAATTTAAATTGCAAAACTGGAGTAGAAACAAAATACAGTGATAATTGGGCTATTTAGTTATTCATCTGTGTACTCAAATATGAAACAGAGTGTCTGAGATCTTGACATACATTCCTGACAATTTTCAACAGGAAGTGCTTTTAACTGATGCAATGTTTATCAGGCAAGTGAAATCTTTTGCGCTGAGTAAATAAAGCAGTACAGAGTCATGGGTCTGTTCTCAAGAATAAGTCTTTATAAGACACAATAGAGAATAAATAACTGGTTTTGGAAATGTAAATTTGTATGGCTTATTCAGCAGATTTTTATGAGTATTTAATATCTTCTGATTCCTGTACTAGGTTTCATGGAAATTTTAAATGTATTTGCAGTGCTTATTTCTGTTACTTTGAAGATAGTATTTCTGCACATTAGGGTCTCCTATAGCCAAAAATACTATTAAGTAAGCAAAGTACTGATGAAAGTATATATGCAACACTATAAAAGCAATATTATATATGCATATGTGCACTTGTATTTAATATTATCATGTTATATGTACTCAAAAAACATATACACACATGTGCACATTTGTGTATGATGTTTCGGCTTGCTAGGCTATATGTCAAATTGCCAAAAAAATTTCCAAAATTCTTAATGGTTTTCCACCAAAGTGATTATTGTCAGTGGCTGTCTAGTCTCACCAATATTTGGTGTCAGCAATCATACTGATTCAAGTCATTGCAGAGGGAACATGCTGACGTTGCCTTTCTGTTCTGTTTGCTCTTATCCAAGAGGTCACAATATGAGATGCTTTCATGCAATTAATTATCCAACAACTGTTTTTAATTCCTGACATGTTCACATATTCTGTAAGTACTGGGAGATTTTTTTTCAAATGTCCTGGTACCAGCTATTTCTGATGCATCATGCATCATGTTGTAGATATTATTTCACAGTCCATTATATATTTATCACTGGTGCTAATTTTGAAAGTACATTTTAATTTAATATTATCAAACATATTTTTAAATATTCACTACTTACCATACACTTTGGCCTGTGACACTTTCACTCTCTCCAACCACAAAAATCAAAAAGTCTTATGATTCCAATTTCTATATGGTAGTATATGGTAGAGACTA